GTTACCACAGGACTGGGAAGGGGCATGTGTGTTGGGTATGTTGAAACCATCCTTCTTCTTGTTGCCTATTGAAACAGGTGAGACTTTAGGTGTTAAAGTGTATGATGTGAATCATAGGAAGAAAAGGGGACCCATAGAGATAGGTGCCTGGGAAGATAATGAATGGCCTCCCCAGCGTATTATAGATTATTATGGGCCAGCCACGTGGGCAGAGGATGGTACCTTTGGTTATAGAACCCCTATTTATATGCTCAACCGCATTATAAGGTTACAGGCGGTGGTTGAGATCATTACTAACGAGACATCACAAGCGCTCAATCTTCTAGCGAAGCATAATACCAGGATGAGGACAGCAGTTTACCAAAATAGATTAGCCTTGGATTATCTTTTGGCAGTAGAGGGAGGTGTATGTGGGAAGTTTAACCTGAGCAATTGCTGTCTTCAAATAGATGACGAAGGGCAAGCAATAGCTGAGCTTACTAGCCATATGGTTAAACTAGCGCATGTGCCTACTCAGGTATGGAAAGGGTACAATCCAAGTAGTTGGTTTGGTAGCTGGTATGAGTGGTTTGGAGGGCTTAAGGCAGTGGTAGGTGGAGTCCTACTGATTTTAATGTTGTGTCTACTCCTGCCGTGTCTTATACCCTTAGTAGTTAGGTCTGTGCAAAGCCTGATAGAAAATATAGCAGAGAGGAAGGCTGCTGCACAGATAATGGCAATTTATAAATATAAGGCTCTAGATCAGGGAGAACCAATGCAGGAAGACGAGTGTTGAAGATTCACATCATAGGATAAGTCTGGTCTGGTTCAAAGGTAACTTGTGGTGTATGCAAACCAAGGTTAAGTGATGCCTCAAGTAATTGTAAAATATCAAGAGGCATCAAAGGGGGGAATGTGGTGGAATCTCGGTAAAAATATAATTTAGTAGGATCAGTAGTGTACGGAGCATGTGCAAGAATACAGGATGTAGTATTCCCCTCCTCCATTGTGCTGGACAAGCCATGCGGTCAAGCAGGAAGTTAATTCTTATTTGTAATGATTGGTCAAGAGAATGTGCGGGTGGAGCTTAATATGGGAGGAGTTATGTGCCTATATAGGGAGCCTGCACTATTGTTCAGGGCTCAGAACTTGCTGTATTTTTGGTGACATTAGTCCCTCTGAGTCCCGATCGGTGATCCAATAAAGAATCTCTTCCTTCCTGAAGAAACCTGTGTCCATCCCTCTGTGCTTTGCTTCCGTCAGTTTCTCCGGTATCACTGATACAACATACACATATGCCACATGGAAATCTCGGCCTACTAAATTTACATTTCACCGAAATTCCATCACCTGTATTTTGCTTGAAGCTAGTGTGAGCCAATAGAAATTCTTCCGAAAAGCATCCCAGTAATCATACAAAGGTATGTATCTCTTGATCAGATATCCATAAGAAATTCTGAATAAAATAAATTATTTATATGAAAAAGATAAAAATTTAAATTAAACAGATCATGTAACAAGCATCAAATTGCCTGCTACATAATTGCACTTACTACAATAAATTGAGCTATAAGAGCTACAAGCATTCAATGACTGTATTAGTCCACTGTGTGTGATCCTGACTATCTGTGTGCACTGATGATGGATGTATTTTATGCACAGAATGTGTGTTATGCACAGAAGAAGGTGTTGAATTATATATTTTAAAAAGACTAATTTTGCAGATGAAAACTAGACTGATTAGCTCTGGACCATGTGAGTGCTCCATATAAGATTTCTTGTTTTAATATATGTATTAAGGTTTTATACGATTTTCCACAATTTCTTTCTTTAAAGGTATACTTGTTAGCTCACTACAGATTGTTATTTATGCCAGTTAAGTAAGTTATTTGATATATTGCACTTAGCACAAATTTGCACATTGGTTGCACTTTAGAGGTAAATGAGGTAAGTGCTCCACTGTTTTATATCGAGTTTTCACTTTTTTGGGGTGTTTTTGGAGGTTTGCACATTCAGTGTAGTAGTTTCTGCTTTTTTAATAAATATTGTATTAACTAATACAAGTTTCCAACATACATCTCTTTTTTTTAATTTTGCAGATGGGTGAATCCCATAAACATTTATGGTCCCACATTCCTGTCACTTTTGTGCAGAGTTAATCTTTTTAAACTCATGACATTCCTGCATGTACTTCATGCACCTCCTCCTTAACGCTTAAAATTCTTAAATACTTAAGGTATGAGCTGGAGGAACTCTTGTGTTGCCATAAAAGTGCTGCGTCCCACTGTGAGAAGAAGGTTGTCGGTGGTGCCACGGGTATTGTCTGAAATAGGTAGAGGATTCTCGGGAGCACGTTCATCTTGAGTACTGCGATTCGTCCGTGCAAGGTGATGTGCGGATATGCCCATCTGTCAAGATCTGAGGTTACCTGTCGCAGAATGTTGGCAAAGTTATGTCGATAAAGTTCCTGCGGGTTTGTGGTGATCCACACTCCAAGCTATTTCATTTTCTCCGCGCACCAGCGGAATGGAAAGACTGTTCCCAATTCCAGGTATTCTTCCAGTGGAAAGGTTAGATTGAGTACTTCACATTTTGAAAGATTAAGTTTAAATCCTGCAATTTTCACGAATTTTTCGAATTCTAGAAGTAAGCAGGGCATCGTGACTCGTGGGTTAGAGATAAAGAAGAGAAGATCGTCCGCATATGCGGCCACCTTATGCTCCGTTCCCCTCCAATTGTATCCCGAGATGTCTGGGTTATGGCGGATCGCGTGTAGTAGTGGTTCCAGGGTCATTGCGAATAGGAGTGGCGACAAGGGGCATCCCTGTCTAGTTCCATTTTGAATCTCGAAGCCGGAGGTAAGGGCCCCGTTCACCCGGATAGATGCGTGTGGTTTATCATACAGGGCAGAGATCCACGTCAACATGTTCTGTCCTAGACCCATGGCCCTCAGTGTGTCCATCATGTATGACCAATTAACACGGTCAAAGGCCTTTTCGGCGTCCGTGGAAAGGAGTAAAATCTTGTCCCGCGTCTCTCGTGCTCTGTGTTGAATGGAGAAGAGGCGCAGTGTACTGTCTCGCGCCTCCCTCCCCGGTATAAACCCCGTGTGGTCTTCATGGATCAGGCTTGGCAGTACACGTTGTAGCCTAGTTGCTAGTACCTTCGTAAGCAGTTTTGTATCCACGTTTAGTAAGGATATTGGTCGGTAACTGCTGCACTGTTCCGGGTCTTTCCCTGGTTTGAGCAGGACCGTGATAGTGGCGGTTAGTGATTCCGCTCCGAATCTTTTTCCCCCGGTGATGTTGTTGACCGCAGTAGTTAGTCGAGGTAGGAGAGTTGAGGAGAAGCGTTTGTAATAACCTATGGAGAATCCATCAGGTCCCGGTGCCTTGCCCACCTTAGCACTCTTCAAGGCTGCGGCCATTTCCTCAATGCTAATCGGTTCATCCAGCTTATTCGCCGCTTCCCGTGATACACGGCTGCCTACGTTGTCTTGTAGGTAGTCTTGAATAAGTGTGTTGGCGTGGCTTCCCACCGTCATGTTTCCAGGGCCATGTAGATTATACAAGGCGTGGTAATATCGTTGGAATTCATTGGCGATGTCCTCAGGGAATTGGGACACTTTCCCTAATTGTAGACGTATTTTATGTATCCGTGTGCGGGGGGCATCGCCTTTCAGGATGCGAGCGAGGTATTTGCCTCCTTTGTTAGCATGGATATAGAAAAAGTTCTTGGAGTGTTGTAGTGAGCGGTAGTATCGTTTCGTGAGAAGATCTTTCAGTCTGCGTTGGGCATCTGTCAGGTCTTGTCGGACACTGGCAAGTTGGTTTTGTTTGTGTTGGAGTTCCAGCTTCGAGATAGTTCCATATAGGTCCGCCATTTCCTGCATGGTTGCCTTCCATCGTCGAGAGGCTATTTTTATAAGTATACCGCGGATGGTACTCTTATGAGCTTCCCAGAGTACAATTGGAGAGGTGTCTGACACATCATTTTCTTCGAAGTAAAGGTCAAGAGCTCGTGTAATTTCGCTTTCCACCTCGGGGTCCTGTAGCAAGGATTCGTTCAGACGCCAGGTCCATGTTGCCGGTTTGAACAGTGGCGATTCCAGTTCCACTGTAACCGGACCGTGATCCGACCATGTAGCGGGGTTGATTGTGGCCTTCTTCAGTCGCGACAAACCTTCCTGTTGGATTAGTATGTAGTCAATCCGCGAGTAGCGGTTGTGGAGTGCGGAGTAGTGGGTGTAATCTTTGACATCCGGGTTGAGCACTCTCCAACAGTCCACCAGTCCCAAGTCACCCATCGACTTACGTATCGAGTGAATGCTAGACATAGGTATATAACAGTGTCCCATGGATGTGTCCATTTGAGGGTCCAGCGAGGTATTGAGATCACCCCCAACAATGAGTGTGCCCTCCGAGAATCCGCTCAGTTTGTTTATTGTTCTCCAAAGGAAACGTGCCTGGTTTTTGTTGGGCACATAGATGGAAGCCAGGGTGTACATTCTGTCCGCTATCGTGCCTTTTAGGAAGAGGTATCTCCCTAGCTTGTCAGTTACCTTATCTAGTTCTTTGAAGTCCAGTTCTGCTGCAAGGGTGATAGCGACTCCTGCTTTAAGGGTTGTGGGATGATTGCTGAAGAAGGTGTTGGGATATTGCCGATTACGGAGTTTAGGCGCGGACCCCTCGAGGAAGTGAGTTTCCTGGAGCATCGCTATGGAGATCCGTTTTTTCCGTAGTTCACGAAGCAGATGGGTGCGTCGTTCCGGCACGTTCAGGCCTCGGCAGTTGAGAGCCATAACAGCTAGCGGAGCACTGAGGTACGCCATCGTCAATCCGCCAGCCAGGAGAGGGCACGCGGAGACCCCAGCACCAGGTCTTATATTACAGCTAGCGGGAGGTCCGTCCACGTTCCCTCAAAGTCACCCAGTAGTCAGTCCACAGTGTAGCCGCAGATGCGGTGGGTCGATTGGCGTGGGATCACCGAGTGCGCAGGGCTCCCACCCCGCGACCGGTGCTATGTCAAGACGTCAGGTACGTCAGGTTGCGGGTCTATATGCGTTGTCCTTATGTGGTAGGCTCACAGCGACTAGGGTAGTAGGGGCGATAAGTGTACTCACACGCGGGGCACACCCCTGAGTCGGGGGTGGGGGGTTGTCACAGGCCCGTCAAAGTAGGTTGTAGAGTGAAGGAAGTGTGTAGGTTAAAAAAGTGGGGAGTTATAAAGATCCCCAAGTAGAGGTGGCCCCGAGAAGGGGAAAGGAAAGTGTCCACCTCGGTCCTCCTTTGTGGAAAGGAGGATGTAGCCGTGCGACGGCAAGAGGTGCCCGGGCCCACCCAGGTAACCAGACCGATGTGTGGGCCTACGGGAAGCTCCGACGTCTTAAGCTATGCACGGCCTTTGTTAGGGGTTAGCAGCCCCGCCCCAATCCTTATTGGGCCGAAAGTGAGAGTGTTGTAACCGATCAATATTAACCAGCTCCCCTCCGCCAGCCCTCCAGCCTGGTGCCGGTATCAGTACATGGAAAGCCAAACATATAAACAGTAGCATACATACATTTCAACATTGTAACATATGAGCCCAATCGGCTTGCCCCCTCCACCGCCCCGTCTCCCGCCCTCCCCAATTTCCCGGACCTGGGTGCGCCTCCTGCATCCTGGACGTTAGTCAATGAAAAACAAATAACGTATAAGTGACAGCATCACGGACATTAGACATGCATACATAATATGAGGTTATTATTATGTTTTCCTGCTCCTTTCATTCCCCCCCTGCCTTTCTCCTCCCCTTTTCCCTTCCCCCCTCCCCTCCTCTCTCACCTGTTCCCGTCTCATTCCTCTTCCCCCTTTCTTTTCTTACCTTCCCCCCATCTGTCTTCCCTCCCCCCTCTCTGCTTACCCTTTGTGTGGCAATTGGGGAATATATTCGATAATGTGTCTGCGAAATATGGCCCGGGTGTATCACATCTATGTCCCAGTTCTATCCCCCTCCACATCTATCTATGCTAAATCCTCCTATCTGTTTCTGCGGGTGTGTTGTGGCGAGTGCCCCCTACCCCTGGTATGGCAGCCCATCGAGTGACTACCCAGTGTATAATGTGCTCCACCCACTTATCTGCTGGTACGTGATGGAGGAAAAATATCACGTGGTGGTGGAGTATGGCTTAACTAATGAATGGTCTGCAAGATCCAGGGAGGTGTCATGTATAAGGCTATTGATGCGTCTTATTCCCTGTGTGTTGGATACTATAACCATTAATTCTAGGTGTAAAACATGCAGATCAGTCGGACCGAGCATAACCATTAGCATGTGCTCAAGGGTAGTGTCCTGTACCGTAAAACCGTGGTGAGCTTCTCCTGAGTTGACAGCGTAATGCCGGAGATTCCGTTCCTCGCGTGATGGAGCTTCGTGCAGTGGTGTATGTTCATCCCCCAAAGTACTCAGCTCGTCATGTCATCTAGAGCTTGTGTTATGCCGCCCTCATCCGTTTGGTACGGCAGCTCCACTCGTTCCGTATAACAAGTGCCCCCCAGTTTCCCCACCCCAAACCTTATTCCCGTGTGATGGTAGGGCAAGCTGTGTTCGAACTCAGTCTCGGCAGGAAAGGGAAAGAGAGAAAAAAAAAAAAAAGAGGGGGGGGTGGGGGGAGAAAAATATACATGTACGTTACATCTTCGTTATCAAGCTGTGTAGGTCCCCGGATCGTCCAGCAGGGTAGCATATTCAAGCACGCCGTGTGCCATGAAAGCTATGGCAAGTGCAGGTCTCCCAGGTGGGGGTGAGGATCAGGGAGACGTGCCCGGTGGGGGCGGCGGTACGACCCCTTATTCTGGCACCTCCTGGTTGTTGCGCCTTTGTTGCGCTGGTCCCTGTGGCGGTCCTCCTCCTCGCCTCCTGGGTGCTCTTTGCGGCTGTGGTCTCCCCCCTAGGGGGCCCAGGATCCAATCAGGGACCGAGATATGCGGTAGATCCATTTCTTCCAGAAATCTCGGAATCTCCTCGGGCCAACGAATGGAGGACCATCCATTCTGGTGGCGGGCCAACAAGGCAAAAGGATAGCCCCATCTGTATTGGATATTCCTCTCTTGAAGGGCCGCTGTTATGGGCTTCAGTGCCCTTCTGGCCTCCAATGTGATGGGGGAGAGATCATTAAATAGGGATACCATTGTGTCCCTAAAATTCCAAGTAGGCCTGGATCTGGCCGCTTTCATGATGGCGTCTTTGTCACGGAAGGAGCTGAGGCAGCATATTATATCCCTCGGGTTGTCGTCCGACGACCTGGGGCGTAGTGCTCTGTGTGCCCGCTCATAGCTGAATGTGTGTGGGGCATCCGCTCCCAGGATCATGTGAAAGATGTCATTGAGGATGTTTTCAATAGTTTCCCCGTCTGATTCAGGGACCCCGCGGACCCTAATGTTGCATCTCCTCCCCCTATTGTCCAAGTCCTCTATTGTTCTCCTCATGTGTAGGAGCATTTCCCCCTGGCGTGCAAGGGCTGTATCGGTCGCCTGCAGCCTAGTGGCCTGAGTTTCCTGAGAGTGTTCCAGGCTTTGTATGCGGCCTGTATGGGCAGTTACTTCTGACCTGATTCCTGCAATCTCGGCTCGTAGGGCGTCCTGTATGGAGGTGGTATGTACCAAGAGGTCTGCTTTTGTGGCCATGGCAGCAGCCATTGATCTGATCTCCTCCCCGATCCCCTCTAGTGTAGCGCCACGAGGTTCTCGGACTGTTCTGCCGACGCCATATTGGATCCGCCGGCCTCCCCGCTCATGTCGGCTTGGCTGTGGAGGAAACCGTCCATTCGGCCGTGAGTGTGCCCTATCTGGGAGCCCCTCGGGGTCTGGGGGGCATCAGTGCGACGGTGGCGTCCCATGTGTGCGGAGAGTGGCTGATTAATAGGCTATGGTAGGTGCCGGCGTGTCGGTGCTCACTCTCTATGCGTCCATCTCGTTCGGAGCTCAGGCCACACCCCCCTCTGGTATTTGTTAAGGTGTCTGGCCCCCGAATGTAGAAAGTAAAAATATGTATTTTCTCCTTCGCTCTGCGCTGCCATCCTGCCTCCTTGGCTGAGATCATCGAGATTGATAATACCAGCAAATCCAATGCTTTTCCATCAGAATGCATGGCGATAAGCTGCACCAATCAGATGGTCTCTATAAGAGTTTGATAGACATAGCCACGTTTTATTCGGCTATATCTGTGGAAGTGTCTCTAGAGGTTGTCTGAGTGACCGGTACTAGAGGCATTTAAACCATGCAGCAAAAATGTTACGGTTCCAGCAGAACAGCAATGTCTTCACTGGCAGGGTTAAAACAAGGTGGACTTGGCACCCAGACCAGACCATTCAGATGAAGTGGCCTGAGTATCTTTTATTGCCCTTCAGGGTTGCACTGAGAAGTGGAAATGGAATAACTTTCTTTCTATTAGCGTGTTTGTAGAATAAGGCCTTCAAGTTCCAGGGAGAGGTGGAAATGAATTGGCTTTGTTTCTGTTAGCTTGTTTGTGGGATCCTGGTGACTAGTGACTCCTTCCTGCTTTCCCTCTGCATGTGGCACAGTTTCCTGTATTGGAAGAAGCCGCGGCGCTCAGACCACCTCTGAGACCCAGTGACATTTGTACCCCTTCCTTTGCTATGACTCTGTCTGAATGCCCAATGTTCCAGATACATTTTTGCAAATCCAAACTGGGGACATTCTCACTTTAATAAACAACCCGGACACAGTCAGAGTTTTTTCTAACATGCGTATTCAAATTTAAGGCCAGAGTACTCAACTGAAAGCATAGCTGATAATTGTCCCAGTTTAGCTATTTTGACCTTAAATGGGACACAATAATCACCAGACAAGGTTAATGTAGTTGTTCTGATGTCTATTGCCTGTCCCTGCAGGCATTTTAATGTAAACTCTGGCTTTTCAGTTTCAGGAACACCTCTAGTAACAGTCAAGTGGCAGTCACTCAGACGGACACGAGAGGTGCACTGATGTTGATCTCAATGAGGAAATGCTGACTGGTGCAGCACATTGTTTTGCTGCACTTGCGCAATAGCCTCCCAATGTTTTCCTATGGGATGGGATTGGATGAGATTGTCAATATTGGTGATCTCAACCAAGGAGGCGGAATAGGGGTGGAGTCAGCTGCAATGGACCTGTGCGGTGCTGGAATCAAGGTGAGTAAATTCACCTTTTACATTTGTTACAGGGGGGCGAAACCTAAATTGTGTTATTACATTTATAGTGACAGGAGCACTTGCTTGTACTCCTGTCACTATAGTGTGCCATTAAAGAAACACTATAGTGTCGGGATACAAATGTATATTCCTGTCACTATAGTTCTAATATTGTAATTAGATTGGCTGAGATCATGAAATTTTGATGATTTCAGTAATGGAGGCATTAAACTGTTCTGCCCCAATCAGCATCTTCTCAAATAGATGCTTTGAATTAAAGGGACACTATAGTCACCAGAACAACTACAGCTTATTGAATTTGTTCTGGTGAGTAGAATCATTACCTTCAGGCTTTTTGCTGTAAACACTGTCTTTTAAGAGAAAATGCAGTGTTTACATTACAACCTAGTGATAACTTCACTGGCCACTCCTCAGATAGCTGTTAGAGATCCTTCCTGGATCATGGCTGTCTAAAATGCATCCAAACATTCAGTATCTCCTCCCTCTGCATGCAGACACTTAAAGGAACACTATAGTCACCTAAATTACTTTAGTTAAATAAAGCAGTTTTAGTGTATAGATCATTCCCCTGCAATTTCACTGCTCAATTCACTGTCATTTAGGAGTTAAATCACTTTGTTTCTGTTTATGCAGCCCTAGCCACACCTCCCCTGGCTATGATAGACAGAGCCTGCATGAAAAAAAAAAAATTGGTTTCACTTTCAAACAGATGTAATTTACCTTAAATAATTGTATCTCAATCTCTAAATTGAACTTTAATCACATACAGGAGGCTCTTGCAGGGTCTAGCAAGCTATTAACATAGCAGGGGATAAGAAAATCTTAATTAAACAGAACTTGCAATAAAGAAAGACTAAATAGGGCGCTCTCTTTACAGGAAGTGTTTATGGAAGGCTGTGCAAGTCACATGTGACTAGGGTTCATAAACAAAGGGATTTAACTCCTAAATGGCAGAGGATTGAGCAGTGAGGCTGGAGGGGCATGTTCTATACACCAAAACTGCTTCATTAAGCTAAAGTTGTTCAGGTGACTATAGTGTCCCTTGAACTTTCCTCATAAAGATTAATTGATTTAATTCATCTCTATGAGGAGATGTTGATTGACCAGGGCTGTGTTTGAATCGTGCTGGCTCTGCCCCTTAGCTGCCTCCTTGTCAGTCTCAGCCAATCCTATGGGGAAGCATTGTGATTGGATCAGGCTACCACTTCTGAGGATGTCAGCAGACTGCTTGTTTTTTTTTTTAGGTAAACAGCATGCAGATCTACAGCTTCAGGCTTGAATACAGTAAGATTTTGCTATATTTATGGAGACATGAGGGGCCCAGGGGGGCTAGATGGTGGTGTTAACACTATGTTTATGTTCCTGACCCTATAGTGATCCTTTAAGCATTAGCATGGAGCCGATGAACATAGGTGCTACACGCTGTGCAGCACTGCCCCAGGAAGCACCTCTTGGAGCCATCTTAGAAGAGGCCACTGGAGGTATCTGAAAAGGCAGTGTTTACATGAAAGAGCCCGCAGAGAAATGCTAGACACCAGAGCTACATTAAGCTGTATTTGTTCTGGTGACTATAGTGTCCCTTTAATAATGTGTTATTATTATTATTATTAGAAGGTGGCATTAGTGTGTCATATAAGCTTACACTTGTCCGCATGCTGTATATTACCCCTCCCGTGATGCTTTGCCAGCAGTATGGCTATAAGTGCATTATGGGAGTTGTAGTCTATCTGCGCTGGTCCATCCTCCCATTTCTATAATAATCAATGCCATGGAGGGAGTCTATCTCTGGACACTGTGTGCCATGGCTGGAGGGCGGTCCGATATAAAATAATGTAGATACCCCTCAGGGAGGCGGAGCAGGCACCGCCCGCAGAATCAGATCTTCTATCCAAACGGTGGGGGAGATGGAGTACAAACATGGCTGCGGTGAGCGCGGGCTGGGTGTAACAAGATGGCGTCCGCCACCCAGCATGCAGCGCGCGGCCCGGGGAAGGAAGTTATCCCTTTAAACCCCTCCCCGAGCTAGGCCCCGCCCTCTTTCCCTCCGGCCCTCTGTAGAGGAAGCACGCGTTTCCCAGCTCCCTCACCGGACCCACATCGAACAGTAACGTAAGTCTCTCCCTCGGTGCCGGCAGAGGGCGGGAATAGCACAGGCTGGGGTGCGAGACACCGGGGAGCAGAGCTGGCATGTGGCGGGCCTGGGGGCCATTGGGCAGCCTTCACACATGGGCTATCTGGCCCCCCATGGCAGCCTTCACACATGGGCTATCTGGCCCCCATGGCAGCCTTCACACATGGGCTATCTGGCCCCCATGGCAGCCTTCACACATGGGCTATCTGGCCCCCATGGCAGCCTTCACACATGGGCTATCTGGCCCTCACGGCAGCCTTCACACATGGGCTATCTGGCCCCCATGGCAGCCTTCACACATGGGCTATCTGGCCCTCACGGCAGCCTTCACACATGGGCTATCTGGCCCTCACAGCAGCCTTCACACATGGGCTATCTGGCCCCATGGCAGCCTTCACACATGGGGTCATCTGGCCTCTACATGGCAGCCTTCTCACACATGGGCTATCTGGGCCCCATGGCAGCCTCTCACACATGGGCTATCTGGCCCTATGGCAGCTCTCACACATGGGCTATCTGGGCCCCCTAGTATGGCAGCCCCTTCTCACACACATGGGCTATCTGGCCCCTCACTTCAGCCCTCCCTTCACACATGGGCTATCTGGTTCCTCACGGCAGCCTTCACACATGGGGTCTGGCCCTCACGCAGCCTTCTCACACATGGGCTATTCGCCCTTCGCGGGCGTGCTTTCACACATGGGCCTGCCCCCGCGGGCGGCGTTTTTCGCATTAAGGGGCTATTTGCCCCTCGCGGGTAAAGCTCTTCTACACATGTGGCTATTCCACCTCGTGCAGCTCTTCACACATGTGGGCTACTCCGGCCCCAGCGGCAAGCCTTCTTCACATGGGCTACCTGGCCTCAGCAGCAGCCTTTCACATGCTGGCTATTCCGGGCTCCCAGCAGCAGCCTTCACACATGGGCTATCTGGCCCCTATGGCAGCCTTTCACATGGGTTATCTGGCCCCTATGGCAGCCTTCACACATATCTACCCTCACGCAGCTCTTTCACATGGGCTATCTGGCCCCCCGTGGCGGCTTTCACACATGGGCTATCTGGCCCCCCGTGGCGGCTTTCACACATGGGCTATCTGGCCCCCCGTGGCGGCTTTCACACATGGGCTATCTGGCCCCCCGTGGCGGCTTTCACACATGGGCTATCTGGCCCCCCGTGGCGGCTTTCACACATGGGCTATCTGGCCCCCCGTGGCGGCTTTCACACATGGGCTATCTGGCCCCCCGTGGCGGCTTTCACACATGGGCTATCTGGCCCCCCGTGGCAGCCTTCACACATGGGCTATCTGGCCCCCATGGCAGCCTTCACACATGGGCTATCTGGCCCCCCGTGGCAGCCTTCACACATGGGCTATCTGGCCCCCCGTGGCGGCTTTCACACATGGGCTATCTGGCCCCCCGTGGCGGCTTTCACACATGGGCTATCATGAGATCGGAGCGGGACGCAACTTTGGGGTTAAACTGTGCGGAAACGGTTTAACCCCTGAAGGTAGAAATGCATCTGGGGGCCTCCTGGCACCACAACTTAATTTAGATAGTAGTTTTGGAGACTGGAGTGTTCATTTAGTGCTCCATAGGTAGGGGAGGCGTCTTACATGGGCTGTCCATCAGTATGTGTCCAGGGAAACGTGCTGGATCTGGTAATTCTTCCTTCTGCAATTATAAATTATAACTTTCTCACCAGTTGAGGTCTATTTGCCAAGCTCTGAATGGCGCCTGGTTTGAAAACTTTAGACATATTCTCAAATAGATTAATAGCTTCAGCCATATTTTAATCTAATTTTAAATTTCGTTGGTTAGTTTGTCGAATCACCCTTATCACAAATTACCAATATGCAACCACGTTTTTATTTATTTATTTATTTTTATTGGATTAGGTTCCTGTAATGCAGAACATTCAGCTGCCGGTTACAAAATATGATCATTGTGATTGGCTGCCACAGGAAAGACATCTAGGGCTGTTACTGGGTAGCATCAGTGCTGATGCTTTTAGTATCAGCTTTGTACGTGTCGTCACCTAGACTGCAAGATCGTTTGAGCAGGGTCGTAATTTACCTATTGTTCCTGTATCAACTTGTAATTGTAATTTATTGCTAAGTTTTCCCCCTCTGTAATGTTGTAAAGGGCTGCGGAATAAGTTGGCGCTATATAAGTACCAATAATAATCACTGTGATGTGCACCATTTAAAGTGGAGGACCCATGCTGCTTTAACAGCGATAGGAATGCAATTGCTGTCCTAGCAGAAACTTGCCTGGAGCATTCAACTCTCATCACAAAGTTCATTCTAATTCTTGTGCCTTTCTTTATACCCCATAAGCTCAATCTCTTGTTTAGGGAGAGTCAGGTGTTTTAAAAGGCATATTAACTAGTCCCCTTGCATCATCCCATGGTTAAGTCAAGTGTTTGTGAGCGGTTTGACACTTACCTAGGTCCCCAGCTGCCCCGGGTCCATCCCTTTTCACGGATAGTGCCAAATTGAAAATTCTTTCAGCATTACCAATCACTGCAGCAGTATTGGGTTGCCACCACTATATAGGTAATGTACCGAAAAACTTTAAAGTAGAATCTTTTTTACAGTAAGCTTATAAGGGTGAAAAATGGTTTACATCTCTTAAATGTAACTGTAAAAACTATTACAACCAGTCAACAATGTAAGCTTTTGGTATAAAGAATACAGATGTTTGGCTTTCACTCAATACCTTTTCTTTTTTCTTTTTTTTTATGCAGTCTATAGAGGGGACCTTTAATACCACCACCATTACATCTCACAATGGGAACCGCAAAATATTAACCAATAGACATCCTCTACTGTTATATTGCAGGCATTGCCCTCATCTGAACAGTGACTGCTACAAAGTAAAGAAATCAATGATGTTTGGTTTCGGGTTTGAAAATAAACTAATACTATTTCTAGGTCTAATTTGACTGTAGTGGCACTTTAAAGGACTCCTAGGTTATAATTAAAGTAGGGCCACCAGAATGTTTTTTTTGTTGGAAGTGCCTCTTACAATGGCTGTATTAAAGGACCACTATAGTGCCAGGAAAACATACTCTTTTTTTTCTGGCACTATAGTGTCCTGAGGGTGCCCCCACCCTCTGGGTCCCACTCCCGCCCGGCTCTGGGGAGAGAAAAGGGTTAAAACGTACCTTTTTTTCCAGCGCCGGGCGGGGAGCTCTCCTCCCATTCGGCTGAATGCGCATGCACGGCAAGAGCTGCGCGCGCATTCAACCGGGCTCATAGGAAAGCATTCATAATGCTTTCCTATGGACGCTTGCGTCTTCTCACTGATTTTCACAGTGAGAATCACGCCAGCGCCTCTAGCAGCTGTCAATGAGACAGCCACTGGAGGATGGATGAACCCATTTATAAACAGCAGTTTCTCTGAAACTGCTATGTTTATTTTAAAAAAGGGTTAATCCTAGAGGGACCTGGCACCCAGACCACTTCATTAAGCTGAAGTGGTCTGGGTGCCTAGAGTGGTCCTTTAATTACCATACATTGTAGTTGGTATAAAGGTATTGCTCTCAGCTTTTTAGCAATCTTACAGTATGGAGCTTGTGGTGGATTTAAAGTGTACCCAGTTATTCTAACCAACATTCTCTTTCTAGGATGCGTTACATATCTGCATACCTATTGGCTGTCCTCGGAGGCAATGATAAGCCCTCTGTAAAGGACCTCAAGAAAATTCTAGACAGTGTTGGCATTGAGACTGATGATCAGCGAGCAGAGAAGGTACATATGTTTAATCCAGTTTTGAGGTCAATATATATGTATTTATATTTTCAGAGGGATTATTGCTGTATTATGAAGTAGCCCTTTTGCAGCATTGTAATACATGCTGTTGTGTTTGATTCTCTGTGGCCACCCTTTTAACAAATGTTAGTGTTAACTTTTTGAATTATAGTTCGGCAGCTGGTGGTTGTCCAGCTGTCAATGGGTAGCAGTTACTATCATATCTTGGCTGAGTGCCATTAGAGGTGCCAAAAAAAAATTCATGATACAAACATAAATGGTGGTAATAGCAACAATGATCTCTAGACACCCACATATTTGGAGCAAGATGTAGGCAAGGGGATCATACTGTTTTTTGGGGGGGTTTTAATTAATCTCTATGTAAATGGTTACTCCAAGCACCAGGACCACTTCAGTGATTAGCTGCTTTGTTAGTTGTAGCTCCACCAGAGTTCCTGGCTTGCTAATGTCAATACTGTACAACTTTCAATGAACGGAAAGAATCATTAGCTGATAGTGGTCAACTCTGACTATTCACAAAACTGGAAGTACATAACCGGACCACAGTGGGGGTGGGGGCAAACCGTTGCTAAATGGTTTGCCCCATTGCTGGAGAACTGCATCATGTCACCCCTGGCATTGTGACCACTACATTTGCTTCTATTAGTTATGATGATTGGAGTAACCCTTTAAATACATTTATAGGCTTATCCTTTATGCCCCTTCCTGCTAAGTTGAACCGTTTTAGTTTTCTGCTCAAGCATTAAAATGCTGTACATTGTGTAATGTGTTCAGTTTCTGGATATTTCCTAAAATAGAGATGCTGTGACTAGAGCTCAGTTTGGTATATTTTTTTTTTTTTTTTTAGATCAACTAGTTTAAGTTTCTCAATATTTTCGAAAAATATAGTTTTTGGAGTGATTACTCCAAACCTGATGGGCTTAAAAATAAATAAATATTTAAGACATTAAGATGTAGTGTCATTGGTCCTTCGTGCCCCTACAAAGGGAAAGCCTAAGCACCAAAACCACTTCATCTTAATTAAGTTATTTTAGGGCATCTGCTATCCTTGCATATGAACGGTATGCTCCTTTTGGGATGTCCATGCTTACTGGTTAACAGCCACCTGGTGCTCTGTACTAAAACAGATTCAGTAATAAAATCTATTCTACATCCAGGTCCGCATGCAAATTATGCTGATGACAAATTTGCTGTGCGTCCAGTGCTTCTCTTTGAAAAGCATTGGATAAGCGGATCGCTAAGATTGCTGCACATACGCAATGTGTCCTCAATGCTTCTTTGTGAGACGCAGATATTGAAATATTTACATAATGCATTATAGAATTGTGTTGCTGCTGGAATTTACACAAATGTGAGAATAGTCTTTTTTGTTAGAGGTCAGTCTGAGCTCAGTAACTATTACAGTTCATTATAGTGGTTAAGTTGCCAATGGGCTGTTGGCATCATCCCTGGTTCTGTGGCAAAACAACTTTTATGTGGTTTGACAGAGTAAGTTTCATTGAGTGAACCTGGATTCTATCACCTTATTAATACCAACTTCAACCATATTTGAATGGCAGCTAAACACGGAATATACTTAAATGCAGATTAAAATGTTTGATTTAATGTTTGTTCATTGTGTATGATTGCACTTTTGTAAGTTGCAAAATGAATGTTTCTGTAGGGCAGGGTAGGTAAACTATCAGAGGTTGTGGGCCACATTTCCCATAATGCTCTTAGTCATATACTAGCAAAGCATTAGGTGAGATGTAGTCCACAAAATCTAGGGTGCCAAAGCCCCTACAGTAAGGTATGCATTATATGACCGGGAAAACTAGCTCAATCCTTCAGTCTTCATAATTAATATATTTTGCAATATGTTAACCTATTGCCAATATCAGAGTGTCTTTTTCCCCCTGACCTTTCTATTTATGTATTAAACTTTCTTTTGTGACTTTCTGTATTTGTAGGTTGTCGGTGAACTGAATGGCAAAAGCATTGAGGAGGTGATCGCTCAGGGTAAGAATGCTTACAGTAAAGACTTGTATTAAGATTATAACTCATTTGTCAGGTGCACAAATAGTTGGGCTGATCTACTTTTTACCTTTTATCGTTATTGGGTAAGTTTTAAAATGTAGAAGAACTTGCCCTCACTGCAGGGGAAAAAAACACTTCTAAACACCTCAGTCCAAACTGTTTATTTATATTGACTGTGGAAATATTGTATAACATCCTTTGTGTGAAAAGTCCATCCTAATACCCACTGGTTTGTTGATGTACCTGCTGGGTTTCGCTTGTGGACCACATTAATTGGAGAAGTGTCAACTCGTTTGTGGTTTTGTTTAAATAACCAAAACTTTTATGCAGACTTCTCTGAACAAAGCAATGGCAAGTGCCCATTCCCACTTTTTTCCCTTTTTCTTATAAACTGAATGATTTGTATGATTGGGTTATATTGTGTAATGCTCTGTTAAAACATATCTTCTTTGTATTTCAATGTGATTTGGCTCTGGAGTCTATTTAAACAAAGCTGTATCAGAACAGCCCGGTTCTGCCCCAGGGGTCTGCAGTATGCTGCGTTCCTTGAAAGAGTTTTCTTGGCAACGATTTTTCATTTACTATAGTATTTTCTTGGAGTGTAATGAGTACACATTTTCAGAAATATACTTTTAATAACACCTTGTGTTGAAATGATTTCCTTGAATAACCACCTAGTCATGGCAGTTAGAATAATTGCTTAGGAGGCAGCAGTCATCGTGAGACCCATGAGATTGTCTTTCAGCACTAAGTTACATATGCTATGTTGACACAGCCTAGTTACTAGCTAGAACTTTGCTGTGAGTCGTGCTATTTTATTAGACATCTTAAGTTTTTATTTCCTAGCTGTAATGAACACTGCCTGAGTATGCAATGTACATTTAGCCTGATATGTGCTGTGAGGCAATGTAAATATATGCATTTTTGATGGGAATGAAAGCATAACCACACGTGTGCTTTTTGTTGCCTTTCTCAGCAGGTGCCTGTGTGCACTGTGAACACGAAGGAGCTTGTTTGTGTTTAATAATTTAACTTTTAAGCTGTTTGGAGATGGACAATGTTTTAGGATATAACTGCCACTGCGACATGGCTGTGTGGGAATGAAGAGGCTCCCCGACCCCTTTCTCAATCATAGTGAGGGGTTAATCATGACTGCAGAAGTGTGATGCATTTTTTTTAATCTGATTTTGTTGCAGGATCTTGTATGAATACATAAACTGACTAGCAAGATGGCACATGAATACCTAAAGCCTTCACTGGTCATGTATAGCTTTGTAGAACAGTATGACAGTGCAAACTATTGCAGGCCACTTTCCCTTCTGTTATATGGACAGCAGGTGGCAGTATATGGGAGCAGTACAACACAAAGCCCCTATCTGTATCCACATTATTTTGTAGAAACAGGTTTCAAATTGCAAAAGCGCTTTTTCAAATTCTAAAGTATTTGGTCATTTTAAATAATGGCATACCTGTCATAAACAAATGGCTAGCTAGTTTTGCTAAAATTTCTGGTGAGTTTAACTTCATTTATTTGGTGTTTGCTGCGTGGTGGTCCTGCTCTGCCCTGCGTTTTTGTGTCTTCTTCTACTGTGGAATCCGTAAATAGGAGGGTGTAAATTATAGTAAGCAATTCTGTTTGAAACAACCACATCTTGTTTTGAAATTGCTAGTACAATATAAAATTAGGAAATGGGCATGTTTTGTTTCTGCTGTCCATTACTGCATACATTTTTAACTTAGATTCACTATTTAATTTTTTTTCCAACTCTATAATAATTCCCCTGTCAGATTGTCTTTGTAAGGCTGTGACCGTACTGATATATTTTTCCAGGAATGCCTCTGGATAAAGACACTTTGCTTTAGCGTAACAGATTTGGTTCTGGGAACTGTCTCCGGGGATCTTACTTAGAGCCTCTGTCAGTTCTTTCCCCATATAACACGTAAGCAAAATTTGTAATATTAATAGGAATCTGCTGGTTTGTTTTTTTTCTGTTTACAGTTAAGTTTCTTTGTGGAAAAACTTTTAGTTCTAGAACTCTTAGACGTCATACCAGTGCTCTTTTGTACATGTTTATGAAATAAAAAAAATACTGGTTGATCTTTATAAAACAGTTGGCTCTAAACAAAGGTCAGTAGCACATTGCTAGTGGTAAATATAACTCTTAGAAATGTGCCCGCTAGGAGTCAGGACACATGGGTTATGACGGAGGAAAATAAACAGTACTCATCTAATATTCCAATTTATATCGAACATGTGCTGAATGGTATCCATTACACGGACCATGAGTAGTTACTGAATACCTTGAAATCTATTCAAATTATTTTTTTATTGTCATCGTGGCGTTTTTATTGGTCATTATGTCTGTATGCAGCTTTTTGCACAGTGATTATGCACTACTGCGTGTTGGTATAGCATTGATGTGGCATCTTAAAGAAACATCTCCTAGTAAAAGATACAGATGACCAGGTCATATTGGGGTACATACACATTAAGTCTTCAGGAAAAGTAGTTAAAGTACAATATCATATGGATATAGCACATAATCTCTCATGGAAGGGTTAATACATACATTGTGTATACAAAATGGCTAGCAAGTATACTGAAACATATGAAGTAGTAGAATATTTTGGACCCCACCAAAGAAACTACAGCTGCACATTTCACTTAGAGGATATGCATACGTCTGCAACGAATGTTCATATGGCTTAGCAGTTAATGGCTGTAGTGATACAAATATAATTGCATTTAATCTGTTCTTTTGGTAACCGCTTGAATACTAGTGTAATTTATAGTGTAACATTTCATCTAGAAAATCAACCTCTATTATAAAGCCTTTTTTTATTATTATTTTGTTTTTTTAGGTAACACCAAATTGGCCTGTATGCCCTCTGGAGGAGCTGTAGCTGTTGCTGCTAGTGCTGGATCAGGATCCTCTGCTGCAGCTGCTGCTGCTCCTGGTAAGTCAGATGGAGATTGAGCAAATTATACCATAATAAAGTTCAGACAAGTCAACGCCAGGGCAAATGTAGGTGAGGAGCACAAATTGTTGGGTGTAAAGGACAGAGCTCATAGCAGTGAAATGAGAGCGAGCTTAACTAGATCTGCAGGATCCAGAGGTGGGGATTTCTAGATTATATTTTTCACACATGTTAAATAATTTTGACTAAGGTTTGTTTTCCTGTTTATCCGATTAAATAGGAAATAAATATATATTTATATTTAATTTTTTTCCATGACAATCAAGGGTTTTGAATTTAGTTTAATAAAAAATTAGATCATGAGGAAAGTTTATCAAATGCACAGGATGTCCCTTCTTAAAGGTTGTCATTGACCTCAAAGCAAATATCTAAACTGATAAAAAAAAAAATAACTTTTGTTTTATGCCCAACAGATTTTTAAAATCCCTGGCTACACTTAAGTGGCTTTATCACAATTCCCACTCAACGGATATACGTTTGATAAAGTAGGAACGATTTTTCTCATGAATTTGCCGGTCTTTAGCAAAAGGTAGATTTTCTGAATCTATTTCCCATCAGCCGTCTCTTGCAGTGGCTGATTGGACCATGTATTATCTTGTGCAGTAAATGCCTGTGGCATCTTGTGTGTGTCATGCAAAAGAATAAGGATGATCCTTTAGTCTTGTTGGATCTTCCATAGACCCTGTTCGGGACTAACATGCACAAATTGACTGGAGTATGGCAGCACAGAAAAGGTGTAGCTTAAAGGCACACTATAGTCACCAAAACTAATATAGCTTAATGTAGTTCTGGTGAGTATAATCATTGCCTTCAGGCATTTTCATGCAAACCCTGCCTTTTCAGAGAAAAGGCAGTGTTTACATTTTCCCTAGGGACGCCTCCAGTAGTCACTCCTCTGATGGCCACTGGAGATGCTTCCTGGTGCACAGTAGGCAGAACTGCCGCTTTGCATGGGGACACTGAATTTTCCTCAGAGATGCATTGATTCAATGCATCTCTATGAAGAAGTGCTGATGGCGTTTGGCCCCGCCTCGCCAATTTTAGCCAATCCAATGCTCTCCCTATGGGACAGCATTGGATTGGCTAAATGGTGGGTTTAACACACTAGGGTCAGGAATACTTGTTTGTGTTCCTGACACTAGTGTCCTTTAAGGGAAGGATCTCTCCATGTCTGTATCCTTGTCAACTACCTCAACACAAGTGGACAGTCATACAAAAATGCTAAATTCCACACAAGTGAAATCGTTACTATCAGTAGTGGGGACACTTCCAGTGTTAAGCTGAAAGATACATCCAGTCCGGGAACTATCTACACATTACACTGGGGTTTTGTAAGGAGTAATACAATAGATGTACTGATATCTATGGTTCTATTTTGCAGCTGAAGAGAAAAAGGAAGAGAAGAAAGATGAATCTGAGGAATCAGACGAGGACATGGGATTTGGCCTTTTTGATTAAATCGTGTGGCTCTGAAATCAAACAATAAAAACATTCTTATATATCCATGGTTTTCATTGAGATGTTTACACACATACTTCATAGGGCCTGTGCATATCTGTCCTGGACATATTATGCTGCAGAACTCGCTGCCATCCCTGATATTCCTGAAAATTTTAGCTTTAATGCAAAGCTCCACACTTGTGAGTGTACATTTGATATTATCTGACACTTTATGTACCCTGTGGTTATAATATTGCACTATTTGAGTTTACTGTCATTTCATGTTCTAAATGGGCCTACAGGACGGATTCTGCCTTCCGCTACTTCCAATAGTGGGAATAATACTTGATCTTACTGTACGTAAACTCTATAAATTGCTTCAAAAGATCCCGAGCCATGAATATAATTAATAAGAGATAAAAAAATTTTAGTGTGTTCTTTGTGTAAAATTACGCATGGAGGGAATTGAAAATGTACAAATTTTTTGAGTTTCAAGGCTTTAAAAAAGTTTGTCATCCCTTATTTAGACGTTTGATTTCAAATAGCCAATTCGAGTCTTCAACTGAGAAGAAACATCCGGGTCACTTTAAATCTTATAGGAACATGGCTGGTGAAAACAAACTTTTTTTTTTTTTTTCATCTTCAGTTTAACCCCTTAAGGACCAAACTTCAGGAATAAAAGGGAATCATGACATGTCACACATGTCGTGTCCTTAAGAGGTTAGAAGCATAAAACTTGTGGGTATGTCTATGTATTATAGGATCACTAGAGTGACAGGAAAACACACCTTTTCCTGACACTATACAACCCTTAGGTTCCCCTCACCCTCAGGGTCCCCCTCCCTTGGTGCTGAAAGGGTTGAAACCCCTTCAGTTACTTTAATCCAGTGCCAGGTTCCCTTGGCACTGGTGACCTCTCCTCCCCCTCCGACGTCTGCGCCTGAGTGGAGTGGCAAGTGCCACCCGCGCTTTCAAACAGTTCATAGGAAAGCATTTCTCAATGCTTTAATTTGGACGTTCTGCACACTGGATGCGAATTTCGCATCCAGCGTCACAGAAGCTGCTGTCAGGAAGACAACCTCTAGAGGCTGGATTTACCCTGCAATGTAAACTGTTTACATCTGAAGGGTTAAAACCTGGGGACCTGACACCCAGACCACTTTTATTGAGCTGAAGTGGTCTCGGTGACTATAGTGTCTCTTTAATAGGAAAAAATACCACTTGTATTACTGCTAGCACTGCACTTACTTTCAAACATGTTCAGGAAACTTAGTAGATAGTAATCCATAAAACCACCTTAGCATTTTCCATAAAATATTCAAATATTGATGCATAATAGGCATAAAATGAAACCCGGTTTAATTAAGAAGAAAGAGCGAAAGGATAACCATAGCCAGATATTTATCATGCTACCAGAGCTTGGTGAGCCATGGACTGTAAAAATGTAATTGAAATGTGGAGGGTTAACTTGTTTCCAAGCCATTGCAATAAATGTACTGCCATAAATATAGTAGAAAATACATATTTGGCTTCCGACTTTGTGTATTGGAAAATAAATCAAATAAAGCAATATCCAAAGCTGGGAAGATTTTGTCTTTGATAAGGGGGGAAACTCAATTTTTCCAAAATGGAAACTGTTTTGGCCAGAGCTGCGCACGCATTCAAACCGCCCATAGGAAAGCATTACTCTCTGCTTTCCTATGGACGTCCAGCATGTCTGCATTGAGGATTACAGAAGCTGCCTCTAGTGACTGTCAGTGAGACAGCCACTAGAGGCTGGATTAACCCTCAATGTAAACCGCAGTTTCTCTGAAACTGTTTTCAGCTGCAAGATTAAAACTAGGGGGACCTGGCACCCATCCAACCTTATTGAGCTGAAGTGCTCTGGGTGCCTATAGTGGTCCTTTAAAGGTTTTGAACCATTGTGGGGTTGTATCGGCATTTAAGCAAGAATTCTGCCTAGTTGCTGGAGAACAGATATGAATTAGAAAACTGCTGCTGATTTGATGAAGACTATTAATCTACATTTTCTTTAAGTTCCACTTTATATGGTGACTGGTTTGGCAGTATGCTTACTTGTGACTAATGTGAGTAGTGGTCTGACTAATATTGTGGAATAGAGGACATCCCTGGTGGGAACAATCCATCATAGAAAAAGTGAGAGAGAACCTGATTCAACAACAGAATATAGAGCCTATGACTGGTAAGACAGAGGCTGTTAAATTAGGTTAACAGTGCAAAAAAAAGTTCAATGGAGCAGAATATAATATATTTTGCATTTCATCTGGTCAGACACTGCACAATTTATTTAAAAATATATATATTTTTGGCTCGAATGATTGAACGTGCAGTGATAGTTTCAAGCTGGTAATGATTTCCTGGGCTCTTGACGGTTTGAGATTTCCTTAGAAATTAAGATGTATCCTCTGCCACAGCTAGGATGAGGCAGAATAGCATATTCTGCAGATTTGGGCATATGGTGGTCATTAGAAGGCTGGATCCCCTAGTAGTGCACCTGGAATTTAAACAATGGTGTTTCATTGTTTCCCAAACCAGTCCAGGCTTTGTCAGTATCTCCATTGGCATAAAACAGGGAAATATTGGATTGCTGGTGGACCAATGAGGACTGTTTTGGGAACTACTGATGTATGTCAGGACCTTATGACATAGGATCTCTCTGTTTGCATGAACCCAGCAACCATATTGGGGTTGAGAAACTCATTTTATACTTTTTTTTTTTTCCATACAATTTAATCTATATAGTGTAACTAGATTTTGGTTTTACATTATTTTTTTTCCTTCTTGATGTTACACCTTGCATCATACTGTAATGACTACAATTCTTGTGGAATCCACCTGCAGCTGTATCCTAGCAACCTACTTTTGTACCCTACCCTTACCTTTTGTGTCACTACACCCCACTCCCTCTAGCATGTAAGCTAATTGAGCAGGGCCCTCAATCCCATTTTTTTTTTTTTCTCCTGTGCGTCAAACTTGTCTGGTTACAAATACATGTCTGTTAGTCCAGCGCTATGGAACTTGTTGGCGCTTTATAAATAATAATACAGAGAATCAACTCTAACCTGCACCATTTGCTAGCAGAATCTTTTTTTCAAGTGATTTGTGGACAGGGTGTCTCAGCATACTTATTCTATGCAATTGCATTGTGAGAAGAGAATAGCAGTGGTTAGTAAATAAAGGCATAGCAAGTAGCTTAGAACTTGAAATTGAGCCCAGTCAGACATTGGCTTCTATCTCTTTATTTATTTACAGCTTGGTACAACATTGTCAGAACCACATGCATAGGAGTCTGTATGGCTCTCCTATGTAGAATCTCAATATATACTAAAAGATAAACCTACGTTACAATGTCTGTTGGCAAGAAAGTGCAAACCTTTATTCTAAGTTCCTTTGTAATACCGTTGTTGCTCAATCAGTCACACTTCATATCTTGCTTCCTAACCTGAGCACAGCCTTGTTACCTTATAAGACAACAAGAAAATAACTCTGTTCTCTAAAGGGACACCATAGTCGCCTGAACAACTTTAGCTTAATGAAGCTGTTTTGGTGTATAGAACATGCCCCCTGCACCTCCCTGCATGTGACTTGCACAGCCTTCCATAAACACTTCCTGTAAAGAGAGCCCTATTTAGGCTTTTATTGCAAGTTCTGTTTAATTCAGATTTTCTTATCCCCTGCTATGTTAATAGCTTGCTAGACCCTGCAAGAGCCTCCTGTATGTGATTAAAGTTCAATTTAGAGATTGAGATATAATTATTTAAGGTAAATTACATCTGTTTGAAAGTGAAACCAGTTTTTTTTTCATGCAGGCTCTGTCAATCATAGCCAGGGGAGGTGTGGCTAGGGCTGCATAAACAGAAACAAAGTGATTTAACTCCTAAATGACAGTGAATTGAGCAGTGAAATTGCAGGGGAATGATCTATACACTAAAACTGCTTTATTTAGCTAAAGTAATTTAGGTGACTATAGTGTTCCTTTCCTTTAAGTTCACATTCATAGATTGAGTAAAAAGTATAACCATTCTAAACAAATATTATCTGAGACAGAATGATACATTTACAAATTGTAGAGGCTTTGTTACAAGGAGATATTGTGTAAAGTGTTTTGTGCATATAACTATTAAATAAAAAAAAATAAAGCATGAACTTAATGTTGCTCTTTGATCTACTTAGGTGATGATATTTGAACAGCAGGCATATGGCTCTAAATGGACTAGTAATGTTTGAAATTGCTATCTGTCTATCCTAGCAGGTGTAAAGGGTCATTTGCCAGCGCCACCTGTTTTAAAGGTAAACACCGGCAGGTTACCCTAATCTCTTAACAGAGCTTATTTCACAGCCTTACTTACAAAAAATGGGTAATCTAAAATTGACTTTAAATCCTTTTGATATATCATAAACGTCTGTTTCTAGAAACCATTTAGAATGGTGTGCTGTCGTTATTGTTTTAGTCTGCTCTGTAAATACTATTGTGTGTGATTTCATTTTATATCAAATAGAGTGTATGAGCCTAACTTTTCACTGAACTGCACAAAGTGTGTTGCTAATTAAATTATTCAAGCCCCCATCTGACAACCCCATCAAAAAAGAAGCCAAGAACTAGAATATCGAAAGATTTAATGAACAATCAATTTTTGATATATAGTCTAATGAGGGCATCCATAGTAAGATGCATTTTCTGACCTATCATGCAAGGCTGCTGTGAGGGGTCCATATCAACCGGCTTCCACAGTCCTGGTACAAGGGACTTTAGCAAATGTCTTTTTAGTGTTTTTTTTTTGTACTTCGTAACCAAAATGGAATTGTGGTGCAACCACATAGCTGCAGGTTCAAATGGGAAAACCATGTCCAAAAATCAAGGTGATCTGTTTATTAATTACCCCACCAAATATGCAAGAGGGCACCCATCCCACGCTGGCACTGCCAACATCTGTCCAGAACAAATAGTGCAATTATGTTGAACTGGAGTCCAGTACTACCTGGATAAAACTTATAATGAAGTTCTTCTCTCTTTGTAAAAGATAAAAGAAAATTCCCTTTTGTTGGTCTGTGATCTCTTTGTCAAGATCTTCCTCCCAGCGTTTTACAATCTTAGGAGGAGGAATTTGTATTGTGTCTTGAAGGAATCTATAAAGGATGGAAAGTCGCCTATTCAAGTTCCCCATGATAAACAATTATTCAACCGAGATATGTACTTGCTATACCATTGGCTGATATCCAATTGGAAAGTTTGCACCAGGTAAACACAAAATGTCTTAGAAGGGAGACTTCTTTCTGATGAGGAAGGGTTATGTATCAAGTTTCAGATTTATCTGCATTTAAGGTTGGAAAGTTCTCAAAAATCTGTGAATGCCATCACAATATTTAATAAGGCAACACGAGGTTGTTCCACGAAAATAAAAGGTCATCAGCAAGAGCTGCTAATTTGCCTGCTTCTGACCAGAAAAAAAAAATAATCCCCGCATGTATAATCACTTCCAAGAAAGGTTCAAGTGACAAAATAAAAAGTAAAGGGGATAAAGGACAATCCTGTCTTGTTCTATTCTAAATTAAAACGGTGGGAGGGCACTGCATTCACTTGAATTTGGGCTGATGAGGAATATAGGCAGTTAATTAGGGAATGCAATTATGGTCCAAATTCTATGTACTTTAGTGTGGTAAACATATAATCCCAGGCCACGCAGTCAGTGGAGTATGAGGTGATGATGATGTCACCAAGGGGGCAGGGCCAGCACCAGCAGATCCGTGCGGCGCTAGGACAAGCAACCTAAATGGTGGGTTTAGCACTATAGGAATACATGTTTGTGTTCCTGACCCTATAGTGATCTTTTAAGTCCACATTAAGCATAGATATGAGACTAGCTCAGACAAAGTCCTGTGTTATTCCCCTTCTTGTGATTGGGAATAACTCTTTTAAAGGTTTTTTATTTTTAAAAATATTATGATAATTAATAAACGAAAATGGTAATGATCTACATAAGATATTATAACAGGTAATGGTCACAAACAGGAGTGTATATACATAACTAGAATACAGTGGCTGAGATAATGAACTAGAAGTTATTAAGTAAAAAGTGTTAATGTGATGGTGACCAATGGTAAACATAATACTGATTGAAAATTGAAATGAGAGAATAAAAAGATTAAAAAAGGTGAAAAATTAAAAAAAATGAGATTCGACTACATGGATAAATCAGACCAATTTAAATGTATTCCTCATCGCCTTTTCCCATTCAGACCAGTTGTGTCGTAAGAGGACACCACTGGCTGATGGTATGCAGAGAACAAGCTTGCATCTCTTACTTTCAAATAGTTAAATAAGAACATCAGTGATAGATGGAATAGCAACCAATTTCCAAAAGCGGGGAATAGCTGTGGTGGCCGAAATAAGGAGATGGCCCAGCATAACGCATTTATGATATGCTAAGTCATCTGGAAAAAAACTTAAGGAGACACAAGCTAAGGGTCAAATCAATTGGAAATTCTGTAATGGAAATAATTACATTTAATATGTTTTGCCAATAAGTTTGGATTTGTGGACACGACCTGAAAATATAAAATAGAGTACCTGTTTGGCCACATCCCCTCCAGCATAATTTAGATTGGGAAAGATTTAGACAATGTAATTTAAAAGGGGAAAAATACCATCTATATAATAATTTCAAGTGAGGTTCCCCTTAAAGGACCACTCTAGGCACCCAGACCACTTCAGCTTAATGAAGTGGTCTGGGTGCCAGGTCCCTCTAGGATTAACCCTTTTTTTATAAACATAGCAGTTTCAAAGAAACTGCTATGTTTATAAATGGGTTAATCCAGCCTCTAAAGCCTCTAGTGGCTGTCTCATTGACAGCCGCTAGAGGCGTTTGTGTGCTTCTCACTGTGAGAAGACGCAAGCGTCCACAGGAAAGCATTATGAATGCTTTCCTATGAGACTGGCTGAAAGCATGCGCAGCTCCTGCTGCGCATGTGCATTCAGCCGAAGAGGAGGAGAGGAGGAGGAGAGCTCCCCGCCCGGCGCTGGAGAAAGGTGAGTGTTTAACCCCTTCCTCTCCCCAGAGCCTGGCGGGAGGGGGTCCCTGAGGGTGGGGGCACCCTCAGGGCATTATAGTGCCAGGAAAACAAGTATGTTTTCCTGGCACTATAGTGGTCCTTTAAGGCCGATATCAAACTATGCCACTCCGATACAGAAAATACCACACCCAGATCACTCTCCCACTTGAGCATGTAAGACTGTTTCACACCCAAATCACCTGCAAAAACAGTGTAACACTGAGAGATGGTACGTTTCCGTCCGGGATCTCAAATAATATATTTTTCTAGATTTTGTCATTACAATTGCCAATAATTTGGGTCCTGGTGGGAAATCTCAAAATGATCAACCATCTGTTCATATATAGGAGGGTCAGTGTTACTGAGGTGAGATATTTGTTGAATTTGGGAAAATTTTAAAAGTTTAGAGAATGAGAATAGATCGTTAATATTGGACAGCCACCGAAAATCAGGGCTGGGTTAGAAAAAGAAGAGGGCGTGCAAAGGCAGCAGACATGATATACCGCAATGAAACAATGCATAATTAAATAAATACATACATGTTTTCATTGGGGATACATCTACTAAACAGTGACTTTCAATAATTTTTGTATTAGGGTAGTAGAGTGTTCCTTTAATTTTTTACACAGTGACACCATAATCCTGGAATCCTGGTTTCCCATCTGTTACAAAATCTAGAGTACAATTTAAAGCATATTGTACCATAGGCATTCTTTGGTTGTCAGCAGTATTAGCCTTTTATTTATTTATTTTTTACAGGTGAATGCAAAGTCTTTAATCCTAAACATCTGTGAGGATGCATTGATAATAGGTAATGATTTCTCACACTCATATGGACAGGTGCGAAAATCTAATCGAATAACCTGCCACTCCTATAAGGGAGAACATTTCATAACTTGTGAGTGATTGAACACGACTCTCTGGATTGTACTGACATACGGTCATTAGATTTAGATTTTTCTTTTAATAATTACATGAATACCCTTTTATGCCGCTTTATTTATTCACAATGTATTCTTGAATATTTTTTATAAATAGCATTTATAGACCACCAACTTTTTCTGCAGAACTTTATAATTATATAATGGATATATTTAACTGCACCTGAGTTCCAGGACTGAACACAACCCCAGTGGTTTGTTACATATCAACCAAGCCAATTATGAAACTCGCAGGAACAGGAGAAACCATTACTGCCCTGACCCAACAGGTGGGAGCACTGGCTCAGGCTGCACAAGATTTGCAGACCAGTAATGCTATCTAGCTCCAGCGCGAATAACTCAGAGCTGAGGCAACACCACTCTCACCATCACCACCTCCACTGGCACCTACCACCCCTAAACCTGATATGCCCGAGAAGTTTACAGGGAAGAAATCTGGAATTCCGTACTGTAACAGAGCTCCTTTTACCCCGGCTGGGTACCTCCGCCAAGGACCGCTTTCTAGCTGGAACAGGGGACAAACCTCAGCACTCCTGCCCCCAGTCGCCGTGACTTGACTGGAGTCCTGGAACCACTCCGCCCTGGAGCCGAATGGGGGAATCGCTCTATCTACTCCCAGGCACTGGACGACACTCTGTCCTGGGAGCTCTAGTCCCTACAAGAAATTTCCCTGTTGAATCCTCCACACTGGAACAAGCTGGAGTTGTGATTAGCCCTTTCCCCTCCCAGTAACCAGACCACACATAGTTCTGGGAGTACAAGCTGGAAGTCCAGCGGTGTTCGGGAGTTTCTGTGTCCGATTTCAGTTCCATGAACTCGACGACCAACACCGCTGGCTGTGTTCATGCGAACAAGATGGCAGCAACGTCGTGGTCTTTAATGTGTACATCGGCCACCCAGACGAACAATTAGAACACTGCGGTGGAACGTGTTACAAACTGTCAATTAGGCTTAACAAGCTCCCAGGTGGTCCATGGTTCGTGCGCCTGTTCGGTTCCCAAAAAGAATAGAGAAAGGACACAAACAAAGTCTTTTATAAACCTTTTCGCATGGCTCATAGTCTTGAGGGAATGAGACTGGCTTCCTCACCTCACTACCTAACCACTTATACCCATCTACTTTGTTATATTACCCTCTCACATTTTACTTACACCAACCCAATCTGTCACATACCTCCACCCCACATCCAATTCATTATGCCCACCATGTTACATACCCCCTCACCTCAACTCACTCCCAGTCACTTACCTACCCACCTGTCATATACCAATACCCCTATTACTTCTTAGTCATTTACACCCATTAACAAGGTTATCCATAAGCAGGATAAATCAAATATTAGGACAAAACTATTGAATGGAAAAG